TGGCTGCTCCGGCCTGTCCGCGGGGGACGGGGCGGTATCGTTTGCTTCCTTAAGTGTAACCAGAGTGAGCAAAGGGAAAAATTGTTTATTGCAGTTCTGGGAAAGTTTAAGGAGGGGCAAGTTGCAGGAGGAAAGCTTTTCTGGGTGTAAGGATTGGGATTTTGAGCAACTTCTCCCAGCCGTGTGTGCTAGCACAGGTCTGGCATGGACGTGCTCTTCCCACCGTAGGTTATCTGAGCCACCACTTGAGCCTGCGTCTTTCTGAGGAAGGTTTTGCTCCACCCAGGTAGCCTTTTCAGTGGGTTTGGCAGTGACGAGTGATGGGCTCTCTGTCCAGGATACAGCTTCGCTCTTCAGATCCGGTGAAGATCACTAAATTTTCAGTGAATTTACTCCTGCGATGAGTGGATCAGAAGGGCCCCGCGTGCCAGCAGCTGGATTTTCTTTACACCGTTCCCTTAGCTTCCCCATCTGTAAAGTAGGGGAAACAGTAGTAATGGCTGATTATCAAGGCAGATGGTTAGGATGCAATTCCTGCTCGTTAAATACTGTAACTTCACTGTAAAACACCGCAGGAGAGCACGCAGTGTGCTAAAACATGGGTACCCTCTGGTTGCCGCCATGCTGGGGGAGCATCTCTCCGCATCCCTCCGTCAGCTGGTCCCCGGTGTCATTTACCCAGCGCCACGTGCATGGCACGGCCATGCCGTAACGGCGGCAGATCCTCCCTCGAGGAGCTGTAGGAAACCACTGTATAACGAGGGTGATTTGTTGGCAGTTTATCCCGCAGCCCCTCGACCCTCATCGCCGGCATGGCACAGGAGCTCGTGGCGTGGGAGCCCCCAAGGGAGTGCATGTGCCTGCATGGCATGTGCAGCCGAGAGGAGGCACCAATTAATACTACAGAAAGAGATGTTTTTTGAAGGTCACAGCTGCCGGACAGCCAAACCCTGTGGAGATCGTGTCCGGGCACCCACCTCCCACTGGTGTCATTGTCGCTGCCGGTGCCACCAGGTCTGCTGTTAGTTAGCTGAGACTCACCAGGAGGAGAAAAGGGACTTGGGATAAGATTACCCCAGCAGGACTAGAATTAAGAGGCGAGTGCTTTCCTTGTGTGGGAAAGGCCGTTTCTTTTCAAATCTGCCGTGGCAGCAAAGACGGGAGGTTTGTTGCTATGTGTTATTTTTGAACCGCACCAGAAGAGATACCGATCCGTGCAGACCCACCCACCAGACACCAAAGTTATGTCTGTTATTAGCATTGCCCTAGAGAAATATGTGCACACATGCCAGCATGTTGAGGAATGATGGCCTGATAATAAGATGGCTCATCATTACGAGGTCAGAGCCTCTTTAATTTATTGCAGAGACTTATTTTCCCTCCTCCTCCTCCTCCCAAAAGCGAGGGCGAATGGGCACATCTGTCACTGGCCCCGACTTTTCACATCAAACACCCCTCGTGTTTGTCACTGCCCTCTCTCGCATCCATTGTAAAGGGCTGTTCAGTGTTTCCCTTCGCAGGTGCAACCTGGCCCCTGTCCAAGAGTACTCACAGGACGTGGGCATGAAGACAGACCTGGTGACTATGAACCCTTCGGTCATCCAACGGGCCTTTGAGGACCTGGTGAATGAGACTTGGAGGGAAAAGCTGCTGCAACGCCTCCACAGCCTCAACGGCAGCATCCTCTGGATCCCAGCGTTCATGGCCAAGGGGGGCAAGGAGCGAGTTGAGTGGGTGAACGAGCTCATCCTGAAGCATCACATCAACGTCAGGACCGCCTACCCCTCGCTGCGCCTGCTGCACGCCGTCCGAGGGTGAGAGCGTCTCTGGTGTGCTGACATGGTGTGGTCCTGCTGGTCAGATAAACAGGACAGGGTGCTGGTGAATGGATTTATTGGGAGGCAAGGAAGGGGTCTTTTTGCTCCCTTATTGCAACTTCAGGCATGTGAGAGACACAGGTGATGGTGCAGTGGCGATGGGGGGGTTATAAAAGAGAGCGAGCTCCAGGGGTGAGACTTCCATGTAAATAGGTTGGGGATGGGGTATGCTCTTGCTTTCTTGCTTTATTTCTCTGGGTGAGAGTCATTATTCATTAGATATTTAGGGAGTCTGGGCAGGCGGTGGCTTATGCTGGAGACGGTTTAGTGGCAGTAGTTTTCCTCTCTGATCCTGACTAAAACTCTGTTGATCTCCCAGGATGGGATTTCACTCATGTAGCTGATGCTCCCACCTCCAAGCCTCAGCAGTAATATTTCTTGACGGCTTTGAGCACTTTTTTCCCACACACCTCTGAGCCTCAGCTCTTCTGGTCAGTTGGTCCATGCTGGGTGTTGCTCTGACCCAGCTCAGGTTGCATGTCAGTGCAGGGAGTGGGCACAGGACAGATTTTGGAGTCATTTCCCACAGGATCAAGCCTAAGGGGATGCTCCAGGCAAGAGGGGTGTGAAGGGTGGCTTTGTAGGCAGGCTGGGAGCAGTGGAGGGTCTGGTGCCGCGGTGCATTGCAGGCAGCAATAACGGACAAGAAGGACCATGTCTGCCCCAAGTGCCTGTGTTTGAGGCTTCCCTGGGCCAGAGAGACATCTTACAGAAAAAGCTGGCTTTGAGGTAAAGGGAAGGAAACGACACCACAACTCACAGAAAGAGAGGCTGGGGAAGAAAAAAAAAAAAACCCCAACCCAAATTCTGAGCTATTTCTAGCTGTAATTGACTTACTTTCATCTGTCAAAATAGAATTAAACTCCTGTAATAAGCCCTTTAAATCAACAAGCTGCTAATCCTGTGCTGGCAACAATTCCTGGTGCCAGAAACTTCCTGTAAGAAGCTTTGCAGAGGCATTGGCAAAGGCTGGGCATCGCTTTCCCGCAGGAGAGGAGGAGGATGCCTCAACAAGCTCTGCTGCTGAGCTTATCTTCCAACTCAGAGCACCTTTCTGGCCCTCCTGTGCTGCAGCCCTGCGGTCCAGCCGGTCTGGCTGGCACTCTGGTTGTCCCCATGCATCTCCCACAGAGCAGTGTCAGAGCCACCATCGGTGGCTGGCAGGTCCTGCACGGTTGGAGGGGATGTAGGGATTTTGGGACAAGTCCAAGGGCTCAGCGCTGTCTCTTGGTGCATGGAGTGATGCACCCCTCTCCCCGTGGCTCAGAACAGTGTGTTCCTTTTGCATGTGTTAGTGTCCCATTGGGTTTTAATGGGGTCATGTGTGAGGAACATGGGTTTGGGCTTCTGAAAACCTACCGGGGCTCAGAGGGATGCAACCAGTTAGACCAGCAAGTGAGTGAAGTGGCCACTGTTGGTGGATGTCTGGGATGGATATGGTACCAGCATGTCGTCGGTCACTAACTGATGCTGATGACAGGCTCCGAGTACCTGCACTGAGCTGCAGCCGAGACGTCGATCCTGTCCTTTGGGCTGGTCACTGGGCTGCGGGGCAATGGGGAAAGGTGGGTCATGGCTGCACAGAGGCAGCACTAATTCAATTATAGCCGGAGAAACCAGCGCTAATCCTTCTCAGGGGGTGCCCTCTAAGCCAAGGGAGCTGCTGCCTGACCTGCCCTCCTGCTCTCGCACTTATCAACAGGAAAACAAGGATGCCTACTAATTAACAATTAATATAATTAAAACTGCAGGCCCTTCTGCTAGCTAGAATTGATGGGAGCACTTCAGCACCTAGCCACTGTGTTGTGGCCTGATCAAGGAGCTGTGCAGAGGGACCACCCAGGACTGGGGGCAAAGGGCTGTGCTGGGGGAAGGCTAGAGTCAATGTTAACCCTTTCCTCAGTGCAGCCTCCTCAGGTTTGGACTCCGGGTTGAATTTAAGAGTGATTCAGGCAGTATTGAGTGAACTGGCCACAGCTGAGGAGGAGGATGTGCTGATGCTCTTGGAGCTGTATAGGAAGTCTCTTAGGTACCTATAGGGTTGTCTTGACCATCTGCTCAGGGTGATTCATATGATTTGGTTTGGGATGAGAAAAGAGTCTTTCCTCAGGTCAAACTGACCGGAATCACTAGGGTTTTACTTAATCATCTTCTGTGATACTGTGTAATTCCTATGATGATCATATATTTTTAGTTGATGAGCTCCTTGCTGTTACAGGAATATGGTCTCCAACAACTTCCTCTGTCTCTCCAGCTCTCTCTGAGGAACATGCCAGTTCATAGGTTTATACTTTTCTTTGGCAGATCTGAGATTTGTGAAATGAATACATTTTGTGGCATGCAGCAGGGAATTGATAATCCACAAAGCCCCATGGAACATCCCTCTGGGCTACAGTGGGCTGCAGTTGCAGAGATGTCCCATCTCCTCCTTTGCTGGATAAAGCTACCCTTTATAATCTATCCTGAGTTGATTTGGAAATCTCAAACGAATGGGGAAGTCTTTCAGCCAAGACACTCTTTTATGTATTTTCTTTTTTTGAAGGCATAGCACTTTCTGCAAAGTCTAACATCCCAGCTGACTTCAATTTGGCTACGAAAGCTTTGTCTTTTCTTCCTTCACTACCAGCAAAATACATTTGTGAGTTCTTGACTCCTCCTTGAACCACTATTTATTGTCCTGCTCTGCTTTCCCCCAGACCAGAATGCATTTCAGTGGCAATTGAGCATTTTTCCTATAATTTTCAGTGCATTTGGGGCATTTGTAGAGTGTGCATTGCAGAGATAACTAAAAAGCATTTGGTTTTGTTGTCCTTAAGAGCATCGTTTGAGGCATCACCTTCCTAGCTGTGAGGGTGCCTTAAATGTTTGCTGGTAGCTTTTTGTGTTGATGATTCTGGATGATGTGTGCGGTAGGACGGAGGGAGGCCTTTCTTACATGGTTAAACTCCCCATCTTCATGCCAGGAGGGGAGAGAGCCATCAGCATTTCGATGGAGGAGCTCAGAAGGAACCTGACTCACTACCTAAGGCTGAGGAGGAGAGTTGTGGTGTGGCAGGGAGCCAGCTCGTGGGGACGGGGACGGTGCCATGCGTTTCGGGGGTGCGTGACTCACTTCGGAGCGATTCTATAACATGTCTCCTGAGCAATTCATCCAGCGAGCGCACTGCTCATCTCCTGGCTGGGAAGCAAGCAAGCCCCTTATAAGTCATCTGTTAGTGTCTCCAAAAAGCCTTGTAATCCCTATTGCCAAGCAGCTTTTGTCAGAGAAATAACATGAAATGCAGGAAGCAAGGGAAAATAATTTTGTCTGGAGGTTTGACTATCACTCCTTGAGGAGAATTCATGGACATGTTTCAGTTTGCCTTGTATAATCTAGTCTAGCATTTCTCACTGTGTCCATCATGAGGGTATCTTGGCAGCAACCAATTCTAATCCCATAAGATTTTGTTAAGAGCTTCTTTAAAGAAAAAAAAAAAAAAAAAAATCAGTAAATCTTCCAGTTCCTTGTCTGGGTCTCCTGTTAGGTTTAATATCCAAATAGCCATGACAGTTCGCGTGTGCTCTTCACCACAGTGATCGCCATGCTCGGGGTCCATAGCTTACATAGCGCGGCTCTGCCACGTATCCTCAGAAGTGCAGTCTGGTGGGGCGTAAGGTTTTCACAGAATCACAGAATCACTAGGTT